CACAATTCGTGAATATTATAAATAATAAATTGTCCTTGGTCCGGTCGGACACCCGGTGGCGGCGTCGTCCATGACCGTGGTATAGTGTACTATATAGCCGGCCGGTGGTCGAAGCAAACGAACGACACAACCCGCCCGCCAAACTAACCGTCCGAGGCGGGAAAATGGGCAAATGGCGGGGCCTATTCCATTATAATAATAAAAATAAAATCATAATATTATACAGAGTGATTCACCAACCATGCTCACCCCCATTATTATCTTTAATATACAATTTGCAAATATGCTTGAGACTTACCGACCATTTATTATTTTCAAATACTTGGATTGATTATACCATTTAAGGAATATTCTGTAGCGATTACAAACTATTTTTTTTATGAGATCACTCATTTTCCTGTAAATTGTTAGTGAAAAAACGTTGATGTACCTATCTAAATCGAAATCTGAACGAGTAAATTATAAAAATTAAATTGTCCATAGACCATAATAGGTTTGGAAGATAGGGTCAATAATGATTGAACATTTTAAGGAATTATAGTTATCTATCACATTTTATAATTTGAAAACATTTTCAGAGTATAAATAATTAATAAACAATGTAGTTGAATGTACTACTCTAGATTAAATAAGTATATCTATTTTATATATTTTTTTAACAATTTTTTAGGACTTTTATCTTCAGTACAAACATTTTAATAACGCAGAAACTGCACGTTCAAATGTTTGTTTGGAAATATATACATTTTCAAAACAGTCATTGGCAGTAATAAGGTTACCGGCTCATTTGTAAAGTAAGTATAGACTACCAGAGGACACTCCTTAAATAGTGTAAAAAATCGAAATAATCGAAAACATGACTAAAAATTCGATAATTCATAATTTGAATAGATTAATAGGAAAAAAATGGGGTGAACAACTTGTTGAATCACCCTGTATACCGAAATAATAGTTAATACAATATTATACGGTATAAACTCGAGAATATTGCACTCAAGTCGTGGTGTACTAGTACTATGGTTTAGAACGACCGTTGGCGTGCGCGCGCGGTCGCGCATGTCAGCGCCTTAGATCATATACTATGGATGAGCCACTGCGTATTATAGCAATACAAAAGTTGAAGCCGAGTTAGCGACGAGTCCCGAATTAGGTGATCGATATGCGCATGCGCGAACAACTCGTTTTAATATTAATATTATAATCACCAGCTGATAAATATGCGAGAGGTTGCGTTGCCGCATGCGCAAAATCGAACACCTAATTCGGTGACTCGCTGGGATGGGGACAGTTATAAATTATATGAAACGAGTTGTTCGCGCATGCGCATATCGATCACCTAATTCGGTGACTCGTCGCTAATATCGGCTTCAAATAATATGCAGTGGCTCCATCCATAGTACTGATCTAAGCCATCGCAGAGCGGTTTACGTTGCGCGGCCGCCGTGGCGACACTGCACGCCGTCGCCGCCGCCGCCGCCGACGACGGTGGCGGCGGATAACTGCCATGCAAAACCGCCGCCGTTGTAGTGTAGTGTTACGCTTTTTTCTCTGGTCCGTCTCAAGTCGTCCGCTCCTCATCTATTCGCCGTGGTGAATATCAAGCTGCACACTGCATAATTGTATTATTTTTTGTACGTTTTCAACACACCGAAGCCGCTCCCGCTGCCATATTCAGGTATCGTATGAAATAACGATTATTAACAACAATAATTTAATTCGTAATATTATTTTTTACGGGGGTTTTTTTTTTGGGTTTTGTTTATAACCGAAGTGCCGCGGTGCGGGTTTCCGTTTTCCGGAGTTACTTTTTCGTCGGTTTATCGTATTCGTAGGTCGTACGTAGTGATTTTTACGGTTTTTCGTGGGATGCCGACGAAATAATTATTCGAAACTGCGTAAAATCCGCGTACCTATTTCACTGTTATTATTTTACGGCGGCGGCAATAGACGTCACGCACTCACACGGCGCGCGCGCTACCGGCCGCTGCCGCCGGTAGGCGGTAATTGCGCGCGCACTTCAATTTTACAATTATTAATTTGGACGGCGCCCGAACTGATACCGTTTTCGCGGTTTCCCTGTCGGCTGTCGCGCTGATAAATAATATCGCCGATCCGGGCGGCTGAGGCATTGTTTTTATTTATCGTTGCCGTCATTATTATTGTTATTCCTTCTTGGCGCGTCGAAATTTTCCTTTGTTTGTCGTTTCTTTTCCCCGGCGCGTAACTAACAAAATGGCGTGCGGCGTGTTCTCTTGACTTTTCTTTCCACCGTTATTTTCGTTATACTTAATGCCTTGATCCGCAATCTGTGGGAGGGTTGTTCAATCGGATCTATTTTCGATCGATGATCCACTCTGTTGTTCACCTTTACGGCAACCCGATCGGACGGCGGAACTTAAAATTTAACGGGCCGCCGCGTCGATGTCGAGCTACCACTTACCAGATTTCTGGAGGGAACCCGCTCCGCGTATACGCGTATTACGTTTTATTAGTACATGTCCGTGTGACTACTGACTACGTGTGCGTATTGATTTTTTGGGGGCGGGATCGGGATGTTAAAATTTGTTTAGACTTACCCTGCTTCGTTCGCCGCATCAGGAGGATGGTTATTTGTTTTTGTTTGCCTATTAAGACAGATTTTTGACGATGGGTCTGTCGCCGCTTTAAATTTATTTTGAGTGTACATAATAATTTAATTGTGTTCCTTTGAAGTCTTATACTTATAGCGCCATTGTAATATTAATTATGAATATATGTTAATATATTAATGTAGCATATAAGTTTAAAATAATATTATATTAAATATAAAGTATATTAAGTATGATAATATTAATATGTACCTGTGCAGTGTGCACGTGTTGAGATTACCTATCCAATTAATACCTATAGGTAATATTTTTATATATTGTGGGGTTTTACGGAATAAAAATAAATATGTTGATAACAATAATTAGGTTATCATTACGACGCCTCATACTTAAAATATAAATGCTCTTTCATTTATCGCGCTAAAACCGTTTTTACTTATGAAAAAAAAAATTTTCGAGCGGGAAAAGTCATTGTAAGCCCCCTTCCGCCTCCCGTTGTAAACACCGTGTGGACGAATGACAAAGCGTGTGTGACTTGACAACTTATTTCGCAATATGTCCAATGACGGTGGGGTGAGAGGGAAATCTCGATTGTGCGGATTCGAAAAAAACGTACGTGCTCCTCCCTCGCGGGGGATGTGAGGATGCAAGTATACTCCGGGTAAGGGTAGAAAAATTTCGCGACCCTTCTGCTCTATTCATCGCCGTGTATTCCTCAACTCCTCGTAAGTCGTATTTAGTTGTTGTTTTTATAACGTTTGATAAAAAATTATGTTCCGTTTCGACCAATCACGATTGCAGTGTGAGTATCGATCTGTGAGAGGGCGCACTAATTGCCAGTTGCAACTCGTCAGAATTAAATGTGTTGGAACACGCGTATTATTATTTATTTTTATAATAATAATATAATAATACCCCGACGTGTTTCTTGGTCACTGTTGTCCTGTATATTTTTGTATTAATCGTTTTATCGGAACGACGTACTTTGATCGAACTTGTTGATATTTTCCTTGTTTCCGTTTCTGGAATATCGCTGACACGGCGTTCGTAATCATTTCTAATCAATCGGTTTCATAAAAAAAAAATATTTAATAATAAACAAAGTACGACGACGCGAGTACGTAACATTTTTAATTCGATGGAGTTTAATTGATCGACGCGGGCGCGCCAACGGATATTGTATTCTTCGTCTATCTCTAAAAATTAAAATTGGGAATCAATTTATTTTGTTTGGGCATTTTATTTATTTAATTTCCCAAGCGATTAATGTACAGTAATAATATAATATAACGGTAGGTACTGCGTTTTGAATAACCTTCGTAAAAATGGAAAATTATTAGTTCTTATTGTGGCCGTAAAATAATTTGCCGTAGTCTGTAGATTTCGCGTACGTATATTAAATTGGCGGCTTTATTAATTTATTCCTCGGTGTTCCTAGGCCCTTACCAACGGACAAGTACATAATATAAATAGTAATTAGGAGCTGCTCCCCTGTAGAAACAGTGACACACTGACACGTCGGTCTAGCCCCGAATCTCGACTATGGGTTTATGTTGTTATTACTCGTTCATAATCTGAGAGGGTGGGTGAGATGGTGTCGAGGAGCTCCCTCCGAAAAACCCACGTATTGTAAACTCCATGGCCTAGAGATTTATACAACTCCTCTCCTAAAATAAATAACCTAGGTGTAATCTGGTTTTTTTTTTTTAAAGGTAATAATATTAATAACAATTTATTGATTAAATCTTAATTCCTTTCTTTTTTTTTAGTCATTTACCCCTCATTTATTTTATTTTATCGTTAAATTTTAAATATAAAAATAAAACAAAGTATGGCCATTTTAAAGTTCTTATATCTTCCATACTCGACTCGCACAAAATTAATACTGTAAAAACTAAAAAACCAATGTAGGTACCTACAACATGGATAAAGGTCCCCACACACTGTGGCGGTGGCGTTAAATTCTATTGTCTTGGCTTCACCGCCGCGGTGAAATGTGTTCTACAGCAATTCACCGCCACCGCTGCAATGTGTGGGGACCTTTTACCTTACAGTTTGATAACTGATCAATTCACTCTAATATAAAGCAAGACACACAAAATTGGTTCTGCTAAACGCATGTTGGTTTATTGTTCTAATTTATTTTTATTTTGTCTGATAATAATGCATTGATTAATATTGTATAATTTCAATGTTGTATTATTATACACAACAATTTGTATCAATTGTAAGCTCTAAAAATTTTAAAATGAAAAATAATCTATTTATTTGTATTGACAACTTCTGCAATAACAGATAAATGTAATTTGTATATTTACACTGTTTTTTCCTTCAATATTTATTATTTAATGATGTGTTAATTATATTTTTTCAGAATATTGACTACATCGATCCCATAAAAAAATAAACATAATGTCTGACGATGGAGTTGTTGCAGAAAAGAGGAATCGTGGAAGAGCCCCAAAACCGAATGACGTATGTTTTGTTAAGACTTGCATGAGGTATACTTGTACTAGAAAATTAATTACTAATATGTTGTAAATTATAGGTAAATGACAAAGACTCTAAAGACTCTAAAGAAACAAAAAAACGTGGCAGACCATCTAACAAACTACCAGCTAAAGCTGAAAAGAAGATTGAAAAAGAAGGTGAAAATGGTGAACCAGCTGCCAAAAGAGGAAGAGGAAGGCCAAAGAAGAGTCAAAAGAAAGCCAAAGTATGTTCATAACATATTTTGTAGTATGTCTTCTAATTATTTAACAAAAAATGTATTAATATTACAGGCTCCGTCGTCAGGAAGAGGACGAGGCAGACCACCAGCAAAAAAGGTAGAGAAAGAGGAATCTGCTGAAGAAAATGACGAGGAAGAGGAAGAAGAAGTTGAGGATGAAGATTAAATACAAATTAATTGTATCTCATACTATATACTTCGCCATTAATTTTACATTTATTTAATAAGGATCAAGAATAATTTTAATTTTTAATTTATTGATTTCGGAACAATTGATATAGGCTTAGAATAGGTTTATAATTTATTGTTCTATTTCGTGATATGAAAAGAATTAACAATTTGTAAACATTGTTTTTTCAAAATGAAACATTTTAAGAAAAGAAAAACATAATAATCGTAAAGCATTTATATTGTATCAACCATACAGTTGTTAAACCAATTTTTCATTTGTCATGTATATGATTTATTTTATTTTGATGTTATGTATAAATAGTAACCTACCCAATGATTATTGAAAGTAATTGTGATTACTTTTTATACATATAATTTTATAATTTTCCGATTGTCTAATCTCTGCCATTATATTTTACTACAAAAACAAACTTAATCAGTCTTAATATTTTTTGGTACATACATTCAGAGTTACTCTTTCATTGCATTAACAAATGACTTATATACACTTGTTATCAAAAAACATTAATATGAATCTTACACGTCTAATTGACATATTGTATTGATTTGTACTTACTTACTTGCATATAATATTTGAAAATGACTATTGTACCTGAAAATATTGTGCAAATAATAAAATAATTTCGGAATTATAATTGATTAAATTAATTTTAATGTATGTGAATTAGTAATAATAAATGAAAAATACCTAACATTGTGTTAAAATAAAAAAAATTCACTGAACTTTCTCCTAAGTATACTGTATACTTGAAAAATGACCAAGATTTTAAGATCTTATTACAAAGTGTGTACATCATAGATTCTTAATCTTTTCTGGGCCATGGACCCCTTTGAAGTATAAAATATAATCACGGACCCCCCCTCCAAGAAAAAAATAAAATATATAAATAAATAGGTAAATAAAATTTTTATTTTAATATTAAATTTTTTTTAATGATAAATCTAAGACTTAATACTATATTCAATTATTGGGAATTATCACTTTTTCTTATAGCCAAAAACCAATTTTAATGTGACATTTGCTGTTGTTTTGATTGTAATATTGCCTTGAAATCTGGGACCGTATTGAACAGAGTAACACGCATATCGTCCTTAATGTCCAATCAATTTCTTGCTTTATTTTAATTGTGACCATTGTAAAAAAATCCACTCACAGAGATAGGTAGTAGGAAATGGAATCAAAAATGTCATTGCCATGGATACAGCTCGCGGATAAGCCTTTGTCAATGAACACCAAAATTCGATTAAATTTTTTGTTTGAAAATTGTGGTGTGCCATTTCTTTTGATCTTAAATCAATTAATTTGTCTTTAACGAGGTCTGAATCATTAATTGTATTTAATTCCACTAGAAAAGGATTGCGTATCCATGTTTCTGATTTCGAAAATGTAGAATCGAAATAATTGAATGAAATTTAAACAAAATTAATTTTCAAGCACAACAAGATTGTTGCTTATTGGCAGAATGCGGGAAAGACATTATTAATGTTATCTTAAAAACGCTATCAAAACAAATTTATTTTCGCGTAATCCAAAAAAACTCACAGTCACCCCGTGGACCCCTGAGTAACCATCTACGGATCCCCAAGGGGTCCATGGACCCCCGGTTAAGAACCTATGGTGTACATGATTTGGGTGAATTTGGTTTTATTCATTAGAATATTAATTGATTTTTACTTGTAACATGAAAATTATATTATGTAGTTTAAAGTTTTAAAATCAACTGAAATGTGGCTGAAACTGTAGTTTTAATTAAAAATGTTGTCTTAAAAAGGTTTAAGTCTTTAGGAAGTACATATTAATGTATAAAACAAGGTACGTAATTACATGAAACTTAAATAATTGAACATAAACATATGGAAAACACAGCCAATTCACAAAATGTATAAATCACTAGGGGCATATTTTATTGTGGGATTGAGAGATTCAATGATTTGGGCGTTTTGGTAAAGGTAAAAAACTAAAAAGGCCAGTCATATTACCTATATAACATTTCTTATGACTTATACCTAGACTAACATACTGTCTCTGCTCAGAATCGTTTTTCTTATACAATGATATTACATCATTGAATTCAAATTTAATACCATAAATTATACAGTGACCCACTTGTAACCTACTGTACAGCAGAGCACCTTTTTTTCTTTTACTTTAAACCAGGTAACTTACTTTAAAGTAGACACTAGGCACCTTACCATAGAATACACAAAAAATATCACAATACTGTTAAGGCAAGTAGGTACTGTAAAAACATAGATCTTGAAATTCTCGGTAACAATTAGTGTACAAGTAGAATAAAATAAAACAGTTGAAACTTTCTAACTTGCTTAGAATAGAAAAAAATTGTTCTACATCCCTAAAACATGTCTAGTATGCAGTGGCGCCAAACCCATATATTAGGTGTTGCAGCCACCACATCTATTTTAAAGGGTAACACTTTCATTATTATATTTCACTTATCCTTTAATGTTTATATTCTAATGTTTTAGATTTTTAATAATATCAAATAATAATTTTTAATTTGATTAAACAAATGTATTAATGTTACAATAAATGCATTGTTTATTCATTTATTTATTGAATTTATTATGGTACATTTTTATAATACAATATGGCCAATATTAACATTATCAATATTATACATTTATTTATACAAATATTTAGGTACAAAATAATTAACAATGCAAATTGAAATTATTAATCAATATTACATGATATTATTACGTGATATGCAAAAGGAAATTAAGGGATTACACATTTATAATGGTACAACCATGAACTACTAGTACAACTGTACTGGACCAACAAATTTCTGGACAATTATTGCTGTCTGGGTCTGCATCAGGCGAAGGCGGCGGATACGGTTGCCTTGACCCTGAAAGCGGAGGAGACGGATACGTGAATCTTGATTCTGCCACACAACATGCCATCGGCATTACATCGAAAATTGCCGGCCCAATGTAGTGTTCAGGCAGCAGCGGCGGCGGATAAGTAAAATTTGTGGCAATGATAACACTTGCCGGAGGCGGCAGTGGCTGGGTGCAATATAGCACCGGCCCCACGTAATACCGGAAGTTAGGGGTGGCAATGGCAGTATCGCACCATCGCTGCGGTGTTCTCCCGTTCTGGGTGCCATCGCTGTCCTTAAACACAAAAACAATCTTGAAATAATAATATGATCATATTATAATACAACAATGTTTAAATCATAGACCTATAAACTAATGGACAGCGCTTAGAGAGAGAGGTCAGTGGTACGATATACAGTATTAGTTTCGTACGTCTATGATTTCCCCCATTATGTTTTTTCTCTCTTTCTCTTATATGATTGTCCACCAAGATTCCCCCAATATGTTCTTTCTCACTCACTCTATATTGGCGCCACTCATTGATGGCTGGGTGGTGAGTGAGGTGCAGTCCATTAGTTTATAGGTCTATGGTTTAAATCCGTTTGCCTTAAAGACAAAATAATAATATACGATAATGTTTAAACGCGACCTTGCAGGGACTAAAATTGTGTGCATAGTATAATATAGGTACAGCAGTTCTTAACCTTTTGTAGATCACGGACCCCTGATGAAAGATTGTTAAAAATCGCGGAAATCACCAAATTTTTTTTCGAATAACTTTTTATAAAATATCTCATGTTATCGTAACCGAAATTATAATAATTATTTTATATAACAAATTACATAAATAGACTCAACAAGACATACACATTTATAATTATTTTATTTCAATTAATTTTTTATAAAAATGTAGGTAATATAAAACCATAGTTGAGTACGATCGATCAACTGCACTTAGGGGCAGTGAATATAAGACTGCCGCGGCAGTCTCGAGAGACTACAGTGAATATCTACGCATGTACATTTCGTATGAACAAGAAAAACTATGTATCTAAGGTCATTTGTTTTAAAGTTATACAGCAAAATCCAAATTCGATTTTGAATAAAAATTCCCGTTTTTCCTTAGTTTTTCTTGGCGCTTTTAAAAATTACTGAGAATTTTAAATTTTGACCTCCCCAATGCACCAACGATATTCACTTTCCAATCGAACAAGATACTGCAGAAGTTGAAAATCGAAGCATTATTTCGACTACTTATCGTGTACACAGACACAAATAAAATAAAAAAATAAAAAAACACACATCATTGTAAAATCAATACATTTATCGTTCCACTCAGAATCTAAAATAAGACGTAGGTTTGTTGTGCGAACTTAACAGACTTAATAAAAAACATACGTCGTTATATATATAGATTCTAGACGGCCAGATAGGTGCCTATATTATTTTATTCGAATAACAATTTTTTTTCAAACAAATAAATAATATTAACATTTTGGTCCACATAAACTAATATACGATTCGCTAGCGTGTGCCCAAATGATAAGTACTTTAAATTATCAAAACGATAATATCTAGAAGTCGGTTGATCAACTGTCCCATGGCCACCTCCAAGAATATATTTTTGATTTTAGTTAATTTTTTGTCTGCCTTCTGAATATTCCCCAGGGAGCATGGTTGCTAAAACGGAGCGAATATGGTCACCCTTTTACTTAGTGTACGTTTGTATATATTGTGTTTATGGCCAATACATGATACAACAAATTAATACCAATAGAAGCCTATAGTCAGTGTCGTGTTAAGGTGTAAATGTGTAATGCCACACGCCCACACATATTTGGTCGCATCTGCCCTATACCCATAAAAAAAAAAATAAAACTAGGTACTTAACAAGAAATTAACGATCTAAGTCTTCCTGTTTAAAGCTAGGTACCTACTCAACTGAATAAAAATAATTGTAATAGTATTATTGATTAAAATGTAATTGAGATAGGAGAGGTGGACCACGTCTTTCAGAAGTCTGAACTAGCAGTAATTTAAATATATATAATTTACTGGCCGAAAAATTATGTAGTCGTAATCACAATTTAGTACCTACTTATACTGTTACTGTTTCACAAAAATATTATGTAAGTAGGTAGTACATATTAGTTACCACATGTCCACATAAATATACATTTGAAATTATTGTTAATAGATAATATACATTGTTAAGGGGAAATTATACAGGAAATCATTATAATTTGTGCACCCCTAAAAACATTGGTCCTATCTCCTATGACTGATGATAGAATTATACTCTATTATAATAATTAAATATTAATTCATTGTCTCCACTTCCCCATGATCAACTTATTATAATTTCGTAAAATTTCATATTGGGTTATTTTTCACGTGGTTATTTATTTTATTCGAGGTTTTTTTTTTTTGCTGTAACTTATACTATAAACCTTGTATCAAAATTTTTTTTTCTGTTTTCCATGCTTTCGAAAATTACTGACCTACCATTCATTTGCCACCAGTAAAGTTACCGAAGTTAAAAATAAGTTAAATGAACTTTTCAAGGGGGCTCCAGCGTATATTGTTTTAAGGAGTAATATTTAGGCAATTCACATGACATACATTTAAATTTATTATGTCTATGTGTGAGGTGAGTAGTAAATGAACATTAAGGTGCGTTTCCGAGAATCACTGTAAGGCCGCAGCCAGAGTAACTCTCGCACACTCAAGCACATTTCAATATACTTCTTGAAATATATTCTTGTTTACATAATATCAATAAAAACTACTAAAAGCGGTAGTACATTAAACATACTTCCCGAAGTTCAATTTCGAAAAATGGTTGAAGGTTTAAGCATCTAGACTACCTATGCTTTTTAGTTTTTAGGAATCACCATTTTGATTTAAAATCAGATATGCCCAAAATAAATACAAATATAATGCAATTATTTAATGGGATTTTTGTAAAAAAATCCCTACTTTAAGGTTCTTTTAAATGGAAAATTCATAAAAAGTAAAAACCCTAGATATTTTGTCAGAGTTCATACACGTACAAACAATTAAAATCTGATATTCCGAAGTATGTGTAATTTAACACAGCTTATTGGTCTAAAACGTATGAAAAATAGTTATGCTGCGATCCCCTTAGTAATAAAAAAAAAATACACATTGTAAAATCAATACATTCATTACCATAGAATACTATTGTTATATTTGACATTAGTTTTTTTAAATAAATAAATTGACTCCATACATTCAAGTAAGTTATACTTACTGTGAGTTGGAACACTTAGAAAAATATAATTATTTTATGATTGCGAACCACCACGTATAATGTATATTACACATTTACACTACTGTAGGGATTTTGAAAAATCATACCTCAGTTCCCCTAAGGCTAAAATAATATTAAATATTTCGACAGTCGTATGTTATACACTACATATACTTTACTTAGACGTCGATAAATCGAAAGGAGCCCTTTGGGATCACAATAATTATTGTTATATTCTGTGGTTACACTATTACTTACTACAATACTGATATTGATATGTTTTTTTCTTAATTTACTGTATAGTGCATACCCACATATAACAAACTTGTTTTAAAAAAAAAGTTAGTCATACAAAGAAATGTCTCTCACATTATTTTACTATTGTTGAAGGTGGGTCTATAACTGAGACAAAATACGTTCAGTGTCATTGAACATAATCATGTTTACCAGCAGGCTTTTAGAAGCACCAGTTGAGACAATAACAATTACAAAAATCTTAAATACAAATGAAAGTAAACAGGCATAAGCAAATAACGGTGAATTTTAATCAACACAATATATATTTTTATAAAAACATTTAGCAGATTCGACTCCCTATGATAAGTGACTAATAAACTAATTCAGTCTGTTTTATATTTATTTAACTAACAACAATTTTTAATCAGACATGAATTGTTCGTTTTGGAATTATTGTACCTTTGACTTATTAAGTTAAAAGTATACATTTTATATATATATAAAAAAATTAATACATTTTGCAGCCATTGACTCATTAACAAACATGGTTGACAACGCTGAGGACATGGTAAAAAATATTTGGTACAAGTAATGTATTTTTTATCTGAAATTAAGGTTCAAGTCAATCATTACTATCTGAAAAATGGCACAGTTTTCAAATCAACAATACAAGTATACATTGTTATAAGTACCTAGGCATAACACTTAAATATTATCAAAACTATAATATGCTAATGAAAAATAAACAGTGAGAGCACGGTGAGCAGGTGCTACCAAAAGCTATAAAATTATAAATATTCTTAAACATTTATAAATATATTGAGCATCAAGCTTGTGGTTGGTGTGTGTATGTGTGTATACCACAAATTAAGATATTTAAAGTATATCTTAATTCATGGTGTATACTTATTGCTTATATAATTATATACAGTTAAGTAGATTTCAAAAAAAATCCAACAATAATAAAACAACAACAACAACAACAACAATACCACATTAAAAGTTACAAATTCTATAAACAAAAATAATCTCACACATTGGCATTGTCTGATTAAAGTTTGATCAGATCATCCCAATTTGAATGGCATAAGGTTGTATTTTTAGAGTGACACGGTGATTGTCAATATACTTGAAAATAGGATTGTGATGGATGGAAATGTGCAAACTTATACTTGTACCATGACCAGACAATATACAATTTACAAATAACTAATATTGAAATTGTACGACAAAGATGGTAGAAGCAACAGATATGTTTTCATCACAAGAAGGAACCCTTTTTGCTTCTTGTCTCTGTAGCCATGATGTTCAGTTCGACCGATCCATAGCTCTGAAAATTATTATCATCAAAAAATTAATATACAATTAGAAATGGCATCAATAATAATATTTTCACAATCAAGTTGAATCAAAGACGATACTGGATGCGAAACAAAACTCAATTCAAAACTACAAGCAAACAACTGTTTTACTGGATTACAATAAATTGCAAAACTTTTAACTACATATAAATTATTATATAAAAGCTATTGTTGGATACATTTTAAATAAAATTGTATGAATAATAAATCTTATTGTACACTATTATATTTTATGTATAAAATAGATAGTAAAGAGTTAATTCATATGATCTGGTTAACCAAATATGAAAAAATGTAATTTATAGTTTAAATTGAATATATTTAACTGGAATTATATTAAAGCAATTAGTTATTATTGTAATCAAATAGAAAAACTTTTATGCAATAACAAATACATAAAGACATGAACATTGTAGCGAAATTGAACTATGCTACATTACCACTTACTATAAAGTTAGGCTATAACAGTGGTACTTCTAGTGAAGAAATACAATACATTCTACTATAATATTAATATAATCATCTAGATACTATAGGTGATTCTACTGAGAATAGATGGCTAAAATGTGTATACATGAAAACAAAATCAATTATTTTGTTATTCAATACAGTACAACATCAAGCAATTGTTATTATTTTATTCTTTTGAAAAAAAAAAGTTTAAAAAAACCTTTGAATCGGACTAAATCTCTCATGCCAGCTGTGGAAACTGCCCTCGTGTCTAAATGTTTGACCATGCTGCTAAAATATATCCAATAAAGCATTATACACAACAGTATAACGATTAAATGTTGAAAGTAAATGTACACAATATTAGTAGGTAAGTAATGTATGTATAGTAACTTGTAATCAAGAAACCTCTGAGCTTTGAATAACTTGTGTTCAGTACAACAAAAGGAATTAATTTACATTTACATTTTACATATAGTAGTTTTGTTTGAAAACTGGAAGTGATTAAGTTCTAATATATTTCTGCTACAAAATATAGATTATAGAAAATGTACATAATTCTAAACGCTACGGGTTTTAATTAATAGTAAATTATCAGTAGTATTGTGTGTGTAAATGTAGCATCACTAATTATATAACAGCAGCAGCTAATAAGGAGTAAATAATATTATATACATACAATCCTTAACACAGTTAAGAAGTATGTCATTTTGTATTTAATAAATGTATAAAATGTTTGACATTAAATCCACACAAAACAAATAATCAGTAACAATTATTTTATACGGCTATTAATAATTTATAAAACTTTAGGTTGTTCAAAGTTCAAACATTTAAATTATATACTTAAGGCCAGAAAACATAGTTGTTGCAGTAAATTTAATACTATTCATAAAAAATTACCTAGGTATATGTTTGTGATAATATTGGAACAATACGTTTAGGTCATAGGTTCTTAACCGGGGGTCCATGGACCCCTTGGGGGTCCGTAGATGGTTACTCAGGGGTCCACGGGGTGACTGTGAGTTTTTTTGGATTACGCGAAAATAAATTTGTTTTGATAGCGTTTTTAAGATAACATTAATAATGTCTTGCCCGCATTCTGCCACTAAGCAACAATCTTGTTGTGCTTGAAAATTAATTTTGTTTAAATTTCATTCAATTATTTCGATTCTACATTTTCGAAATCAGAAACATGGATACGCAATCCTTTTCTAGTGGAATTAAATACAATTAATGATTCAGACCTCGTTAAAGACAAATTAATTGATTTAAGATCAAAAGAAATGGCACACCACAATTTTCAAACAAAAAATTTAATCGAATTTTGGTGTTCATTGACAAAGGCTTATCCGCGAGCTGTATCCATGGCAATGACATTTTTGATTCCATTTCCTACTACCTATCTCTGTGAGTCTGGATTTTTTTACAACGGTCACAATTAAAATAAAGCAAGAAATTGATTGGACATTAAGGACGATATGCGTGTTACTCTGTTCAATACGGTCCCAGATTTCAAGGCAATATTACAATCAAAACAACAGCAAATGTCACATTAAAATTGGTTTTTGGCTATAAGAAAAAGTGATAATTCCCAATAATTGAATATAGTATTAAGTCTTAGATTTATCATTAAAAAAAATTTAATATTAAAATAAAAATGTTATTTACCTATTTATTTATATATTTTATTTTTTTCTTGGAGGGGGGGGTCCGTGATTATATTTTATACTTCAAAGGGGTCCATGGCCCAGAAAAGATCTATGGTTTAGGTTGTATTTAATTCTATTAAAAATGAAAAATATTAATATCTAAAACCACTTACACGAATGGTCTGAGTTCCACCTTCGTGTTGTAACAGATCTGAATCCCAGTCTTCCTCTTCGTTAGCATCAAACGAATAGAAAGGTATCAATGAATGCCGCAGCCTGTCTAGTCTTCTCTTTCTTCTAATTACAATTATTACCTAAAAGCACCAGTCATGAATTTGAAACGAATAAACCTGGGGAAAGAGAGTATTATTGTGCACTTACACCAACGAGCATCAAACAAGCAACAATAACGATGATCACAACAGTGAGTGGACTGAACTGGATAGGCGGATGTGGAACTGCCACAGACTTGACTGGCGCTGGTGCAGTGGAAGCTGCATCGTTTGTGAGATTAGTAACGGAAACGTTTATCACCATCTATAGAAAAATTGTTGTTAATCATAATTATACATAATATAGAACATAAAAGTTACTGTAAATGGTTGATAATGGGGGTGGTCTTTTACACAGACAATCTGTGGGGTAGGACTTCATGCGATGGCATCTCACCACAGACACAGCGGCACGAATGGACCAAGACGAAGAATTTTATCTATTCAGTCTGCACATCAAATGATCGAACAAAACTAGACGTTAACCCCGGGACGTCAACATCGTCGTCATCGTGCCGAACAATGAACAGTGTTTGTTAAAGAAACTAACTATATAATAGTAGTTACATGGCGAGTATAAATGCATACTGTACAAACAAAAACACACCCACGCGCACGCGCACAAGTAACTAAGTCGTAATAAATCAGAAATAAATTAAAATCATATAGTTATTACTTATTAAATACTAAGGTAATAAAATATGTATTATTTTAAAGCGGAGATTAATTTTAGTCCAAAATCCGCACGTAAATCCGTGCGAGTCGTGCGACCGTGCGGCCGCGGTTTGAGATAATAATTAATAACAGACAACAGTAAAATAATATTTTTATTTTTTTTTTGACGAACGTATTCCCTTATCACCCTCAACGACGAGCCTACAAATGCCATAGATCCGGTGGTAAGTATTACTGTTGCGGAGCCACTGTTGTTCATGTATTTATTCCATGAACTACTACACAGGACTGGACACTATTGGCAGGAGGAGAGTAGGGGGTCGTCCACAAAGTTGTACATATTCGGTACACATGCGACACAGCGCCATCTGTGAGATAAGAAATATTTTGTTATATAAAATACCGCCTTAGTAGTTCATGCTTAAACTGTTCACTCTTTAAGCAGTAATTATTTTCTGATAATATTCTATAAATAGTATCATTATTATCTTGAACTGTGTTATTAATAATTGTTTTTCAAAAATTAAAAAGTAAATTTATTATCAGTTATTATCACTAATATCACTATTCTTTAGTGTTATCCCATAGAGTAATATTACTAATATAATATTACTCTATGTGTTATCCTATAAAAAACGTAGTTCGTACTACTAACAGGCAGAGTGCAGTTACATCGCATGTGTACGAACCCTGTACAACTTTGTGTCCGTGATTTTCTCTGTAGTGTCCAGTCCTGTGTAGTAGTTCATGATTTATTCGATATCTACGTCGGTGATAAGATAACATTTAAATAATTACCGCGTGAATTTAAATATTATTATTATTATTATTATTATTTATTAATACAAGTAAATAATTCAATTGAGTATTGTAATTTTTATAAAAATTTTTAACAAAAAAAAAAAAAAAAAAATTAAGAATGATAATTCTAACACGTCTTACAAAAAAAAAAAAATAATAATAATTTATTAAACTTTATCTAATACGTCCTACAAAATCCTACTTTGGGGGACGAGGTGGCCGAGCGGTCGGACACGTCGTCTGCGGCGCTGGCGGTCGCGGGTTCGATCCTCTCGACCACTGTGCGGTATTTTTCTCCGGGCAAGTCACGGTGTCCGGAGAACAAGTGCCGCCATCCCCCACTCCGGGGCATGGCAGAAACCTACGGGTGCCCCATTCAAAATTCTGCCAAAACCCAACACACACGTGTTCCTCCCCCTACCGTAATAACAACATACAAAAATAAACCACTAACACCCAATGGCCTATGTTGCCGCGGGTTATCCAATAAAAAAAAAAAAAAAAAAAAAAAAAAAAAAAAAAAAAAAAATCCTACTTTTTTTTACAGTTCATTATCCGAACAAAAAATCCTAAAATTAAGAAATTTTAGTTTTCTTTATTTGCCTTGTTTTTTGGCACCTGTAATACAAAAAAAAATTAGTTGCACCAAATTGGAATTAAAATTCAATGTAGACCTACGTCAAAAATTCTCTTTTGTGGTTTCATTTTACCCCTTTCCAACTTATTTTTTTTGTTTCAAAGGCACAGTTTCTATTTTTGAAGCAGCAATGGAAACATGGATGGGTGCAACCAGTTTTTTATTTAACTGTTGTAGTTGTTCTCGTGATGTTATCTGCTGTAACGATTGCTCAATTTCTTGTAATATATTCTGCCTTAATTTGTGTAATAAAACATCTGAAAAAAATTTTGAAAATATAAATTAAATAAACATTTTTCAATTAATTCTTATTACCATCATCATCATGGTGTGATTGATTTTCCTCGTTTATACTTGTTGTCTCCATCGGTTCATCATCTTTACATGTCATCTTTGTCTGTATACTACGTCTGTGTGTGCTTTTTGTTTTTGTTGTTTGTCTACATTTGCTGTCGGTTTTTTGGCTGAGGAGGTTCATTGCAACGGCGTGAATATGCTTCCACATATTATTTTTTATTGAATGGTCCTTGCAATTACACGTGTAATCGTGGAAACACGCATTACATTGTGTGCAAGGAAGTAAACAGATCTCACCTTCATACAATGTACACTCTTTTATATTCGGAGTGACATTTGATTGTAATAAAGATCATTGATATTAAACTATTAAAGATACAATTATATACAACGCGGGAATTCCTATACATGATTATTATTATTATTTTTTTTTTTTTTTATAGTATACGTGTTAGAATTATCATTCTTAATTTTTTTTTTTTTTTAGTTATAAGTATAATAATTTAGATTTAGGATATAAAAATTACAATACTCAATTGTATTATTTACTTGTATTAATAAATAATATTAATGATTATAATATTTAAATTCACGCGGTAATTATTTAAATGTTATCTTATCACCGACGTAGATATCGAATAAATACATGAACAACAGTGTGGCTCCGCAACAGTAATATTTACCACCGGATCTATGGCATTTGTAGGCTCGTCCCTCAACGACTCACTAGTCGCTATCAGCTCGAACACTTTGAACCACGGTTAGGTAAATATATTATCATTTATTTAACCGTGGTCCGTGCCCCGTGGTTTCGAAAATTCAAACCGCTTGCTGTCGCCTGTCAGTCGTGTGTTGTGAGTTGTGACTACTGACTACGACGCTGAAGAATTTCGTGAAGACTCAAGACCAGAATATTTTATTTTTTAAACTCTTTAAACTCTCTAAACTCTCTAAACTCTCGTCTTCACAGTGAGCCCCTGACAGTTTGGTCGATGCCATAATTTCTATCGAACAAGTACAACAAAACACGATTACGTCTATAACGTCTTAGGAATGGCTATACGTAGGTATTAAATTATTTTAATGTTATTGCTAATACAAAATATATAATACCTATACATATAGTTTCAACTTCCAAATTCACAATATGTATACTATAGGTAATCACAGATAGGTAGGTAGGTACCTATATAAAATATACCTACTCTGGGCTACTTGAAATAATTATTGAGTGTAGGTAATCATAGGTATTAGACGCACACCTATACATATAGTGATCAAGAGGGCCGAAGGGGGTGCTTTGGAGCTAGAGCATCCTCAAACCTAAATCCACTTGAATCGTATTGACCTTTAATTTTTTCGGTAAGAAATTGTATTATATACCTATTGCCATTGTTGTGTACTTGTGTTTATTAAAAGTGTGAAATAATAATAATTGCATAACTGTGTAACTGCAGTCGTGATCACAAATCAAGCCATCATAATAGAACTCATAACAAATAATAATACTATATAATCAATGTCAATTTGTACTTTTGAATCCTGGCTCACGTAATTAAGTTAAGCAGCATTTGACTCTGTATGTTGTCCGAATACTGTATCAGTGTCGTACTGTCGTATCGATGTGTCATAACATTCTTAAGTCGTTATACTACGACCATATAATATTGTATATTTAAAATTAAAATTAAATTAAATAACGTAGGTTGTGTTAAAGTTAAACATTTCAAATTTTTAAATTTGAAACCAAATATTGCAACACAACTGCGGCACCTCCTTCGTTCTTTCAACCCAAGTGGCTGTCGCCTGACGATATATTATGTTATACCAGAGGCGTCCGCAGGGGGGGTGGCTAACGGGCTGAAGCCCCCCCCCCCATTGCCCGTATTATTATTACTATTTCAAAAAATATTTATCAAGTTTCAACTGTCAACTATAGTAAGCAAGACGTACATTTCATATATGTCCTACCGGAATCAATTCATTTTTGAAAAAACATAGTATTAGCATATCAATTTTCCTAAAATTATCTGTAATTTTTCGGTAAAAGTATGAACAACTTGTATGAAAGACCTTGTATCAAATTGTCTAGCCTTAGCTATATTTAACATTTTATAAGTTTTGTACAGATTAACTGTGGTTTTGATGAAATTTGAACTTTAAATGCTTATAGAAAATAACCATGATGCCTATGTATCGTTAATATTTTAGCTATAATAAAAACTTACGTACTTATTACATTTTTAAGCTTTTTGACCCGATAAATAATTTTTTATTGAAATTTATAGAAAAAAAAAATTAACCAAATACAATCAAAGTGAAGAACTGAGGACGGTATAACCAAGCTGGTTACCAAATAATTTTAATACATTTTCATTGTTTTTTCTCCAATTATTTTAAAAAGCACTGAGCATTTTAAATTTCCACCTCCTAAAAGTACCAACCATATCTAATTTGCTTCCAAAAACATACATCGGGCATCGAAGTTTATGATCAGAGCATTTTTTCTATACAAGAAAAGTTGAGAAGTTACAAACATTTTAAAATACTTTAAATAAACTTCCGAATTTATTAGACTGGACAAAATAAAAATAAAATTGTAATTCATTTTCAAGCCCCCCCCATTGAAAAATCTTGCGCACGCCACTGTGTTATACACTTATACTTAATCCTAATGACCTATTGACCTAATAGCCTATCCAGGTAAGGTTAGTTGGTTAGCTTCATCCAACTACACGACCCGGGTTGTCGGACCAATATATTATAAATAAAGTTTATGTTCTTGAGGCTAGGTAGTATATCGACCGAATCGTCCAGAAAATGCAAAACAGATACAGTTAAACAATTAGTTAATG